GGCGCCACCGGGCCCTCTGACCACCACCAGTAGGCAAACATGGGGTTAGTATCTTGCCCAAGGATATTTGGCATGCAGCCAGGAGGCAGCCTGGGATCGAACCACCGACCTTCTGATTAGTGGCTGACCTGCTCTGCCTCCTGAGCTACAGCCACCCACCCAGGGTGACATTAGTGTAAAATCCATGACTGTCATATGAATGATTCAGACCTCAAACCTAGATAAAGGATCACAAACTAAAGCCACAGCTTATGTTTTGCATAGGCTTATGTTTACTCCACATTAGTACGTAGAAAAAACTATTACTCAGGTCTTACCTCTGTATTTAATACCATTTACGAACTTCAGAATGTGTTCAAAAGCTGGATTGAACATCCCAACCTTTATAGAAACACAGATAATCAAATAGTTAGGTCTACTTTACAGAAGAAAACAAAATTACAGAACATTATCCAAAAGGTCTCACCTCAACCAGCACACCCAGCACAGCCAGGCCATCAGATTTGTCCACGGCGGTGGAAATATTGGGATACTTATCTGAATTGTAATGCACTACATGCAACTGTGAACAAAAAGAACAATATGTCAAGATCCTGTGGAGAAAAACACAAAACAAGAAGGTATTTTATGTAAATCACTCTCATTTTTATAACTCAAGCCATCTGTGACATAGTACTAATAGCAGCGATTTGGTGGGGTCATGGAAAAAGTGACACGTACACTGCCAGATTGTTATGTACACCACTGCATCACTGCAACAGCCCTGTGATAAACCTTAAAGTACCTTAAGAACACTACCCTGTGTTCAGACTATTACTTAGTTTTGGGCGAGCATGGAGGTTGGTATATCATGTCATTATAACGTCTCTGCTCTCCATGTTATCTCCTTTTTATTTAAATGACAACTGTTATTAGTGTACACTTATAATAGCTGTTCAATGCAGAGAGTAGATGTTAGTTGGATTGAACATAAGTGGAGGTATTCAGAGAGCATTGAATGCAATCTTCTGTGGAAGAAAATACCAAAATATTTTACACCAGCTTTCTTATAGCAGAACGTTATTCTATATTCTGTACAACCCAAAGGCTTCTTAGCCCTTCTGACCAAATAGTTTTATTTACAGACTTTGCTCCGTCTTGAGAATTAAGGAAGGCCTTTTCACCATTTCAGGAAAATGTTCAATTTCCCATCATGCCATGCCTCCAAAACAACATGTCATCAAGGAACTGTGGTTCTGGAGTCTGGAGAGACTTGAAAAGACGCATGTTTTCGACGTGTCCACACAGAAACTCAGGTCAAACCACAGCACCTTAAATGTGGCTGCACAGCAGCTGGAGCGTGGTCACATAAAATGAACACAGGTTGCAGTCGTTTCAGCAGTCGTTCCAGTCTGCCCACTGTAATCCAAATAATTCCAAATTATATACAACAGTATCCCATTTTCACCTACTTTACTTTAAACTTGACTTTCAAATCATCTTCTTTACCTGAAGTGCCAAAGTAAATACATGAAACTATTGTGTGAAACCTGTTTACGGGGCTTCACACGTTAAATAGCACAGACAGCCGCTCATTTAGCGAAGTGGTTTAAAACCACAGTATATAATAGCCTGGTACATACAATCCCCTAAAACCCTTTTGAGTAAGAGACTACATACCATCTAGCAATGAACATTCTGATACTGATGATGTCTTTTTCTGACTTTTAGTATATGCAACTAAATGCCAAATATGCTGATTTGATGATTGTAAACTAATGATTTATTTTGGTAAAATAATTCTCTATGTTCTCTGTAATATTAGCAGTGAGGGTTTAGAGTTAAAGTTTTTATGCATATAATTTCAATTTACACTTGATTGCACATCAAAATAGGCAGCACATAGAAACAACACATTTGACAGATGGGCGTGAGCTACATATTTGCAGCAGTCTCAACAAACCACAACAGTGACATGCGAATGCTTTTCATATTTCATATTTAGCAACATCATCTTTGAAGGGTGTCAGTGGCTTCGATTCCCCTGCCAGTCAAATGTCACACGTTTCAGTCACAAAGTAGGGGAGACAGTTGACAGTGCTTCTGATTCAAGAAGTCCCTCTCCAGTTGTAACACTTCCAATTTCTCCAATCAGAGCTAAGTTTCAAATGATGTGACTCATCCTGTACATGCCCAATTCAGTTCTGCTATCACATGTGAAAAATCAGCACATTTTGTCAAACACAGACAATTTAACACGAAAAAAAGTAATTTGTATGGCAAAAAGTAAGTTTTTCTACTTTATTTAAATTTCTAATAGCATTATCTGCTTTGCAGTTAAACTCATCAAACTTAAATTATGTTATTTGTATGTCTATGGGGATATATTCTGTGTAGGTCTTTAGTGCTAATGTTTTAGCCATTGGCTGTAATGTTAGCTAGTTCATGGCTATAGGAGTCTGGGTCAGTTGTAACAGCAACAGTCTGGGTTAGTTGTAACAATAATGCAGATGTTACAACTTACCAAACTATTACTTTAACTTATATTAAACAAGTTGGGACAACGACATCAGCAGAGAGAGGTTCACTGGTCGCTTTTGTATATGCGGTTAATGCCATTGGCAACACAATTCCTCCAATGTTTGTGTTCCCACGCATACGTTATGCAAGCCACTGTGTCAGAGATGGACCAGTAGGAAGTATTGGTAGTGGAAATAAATCAGGATGGGTGCAAGAAACAGATTTCCTCATCTTTCTGAAGCACTTTGCAAACCACACCAAGGTAAGCCATGATAAAAAGTAATGGAATTGCGATGCTGGTGAACAACTACATTTTTTCAGCTTCATTGTTATGCTCAAAATTGGTGCAAGAGTTGTAGGTTATAATGCCCAATGAGCCAATGAGGCCAAACTCAAGGAAGACCAACCAAAATTAATGAATTATTCAGTTGCAGAAAATTCCATAATTTGTCTTTTTTGGGGGGTTGGAATATGTTCAAAAGTACACATAGCTACATAAATTGCTCTAAGTGCATTCATATGTTGAATAAACAAAGATTACATGTTAATGTTTTGTTAGTACCCTTATTTCATTGTGTTACATTTCACCCCAGGATATGTTACAACTAACCCAGACCCACCTACAAAGAAAAACATACTGTTTATTCATGCATGCCAGAGGGATGAAGTGAGGTGAGGTGAGGTGAGGTGAGAAGCTACCTCTCAACTGAGAGTGTTGAGCTGGCAGGAAGACCAGTAGCAAAGAAAAGGCAGAAATGAATCAGTAGCTAAGAGTTGGTAGAGTCAAGGAGAAAGTGAGATAGGCTACTGCTTGGTCATGACTGATGAGAAAGCTGCATCTTAGTCATATCACTTGCAGTTGATATCAAGATGGTACAGCTTATTGCCTAACACCATTCATCCTAACAGGAAATGAATGAGTTGATGAACAAAACAGAACGAATATCTGACATGTGCATGTAGAAAGTTGCAAAGATATTGAAATACTTTAGGACAACTACCTTGAATTTGTACTTAAGTGTAGTACTGTAGTGCACTACTATCTCTGAGAAGTGCAGTTTGCATTGTTTACCTCTGCAGCATACTGCTTACTGTTCACCGTATGCTCAGAACCTGCAGGCCGACTGGAGGAGCCCCAGTGGAAATGGAGTTGAGCCGCAGTGTATCGGTTATGTAGGCTGGAGATGGACATCATGGGGGACAATGAAAGCTGCACTGTGAATCAAAGCCAATGAAAGCACACATCAACATAAAGAGTCATGACTGCACCAGTAAACACTGGGGCATCACAAAACATGAGCTTTATCTAAACTGAGGAAGTCAGCATGCCAAATCCCCAACCCCCCACCCTTCCCTATCCCCACTGTCTTGTTCTGTCATAGTGGTGTAGCTGCTTTTAAGACCATTTATAGCCGGGTGACGCAAAGTGCATTTCGCATGATCGTCAGTGCATGACGAACGCTTGCACATGAAAATGCTTTGTCAGCCCATTTGGAATACACATCACACTGATGATGCCACTCAGTTTGTGGTGTTGCACACATAAGCATTTCTGTGTTATTTGCATTCTGTGTGCGGAAAGCAGTTTTGTTATGCAGATATAACAGCAATGCATCCTTGCCAACATTCGGAAGGCATGACATGCATCCTCAGCTATACATGATTGTCACAAAAATTCCTAATGGAGCAGTTTTTACATGATGTTTAAGGGAACATGACAGAAACGTATCAAACTAGTTTTGCAGCGCACAGTTTATTGCATAGTTTCACTTCACTTCGCTGTGTTCTAAATAAATATTGCACATTAAATTTAAGCTGGTTTCCTTCATTAAGATGCGTCAGTCCAAGCAGAGGCGGATCAGATGAGTAGTCTTTGGTCATATTTTCCCAGGCAGTTAAGATAATAAGAGGTTGATTATAGAAAATTGCTGTGGCAGATGAAGAAAAAAGATCTGCCTATCATTTTCCTAAGTTTGGCCCAGAAAATAGGTCTCCACATTTATGTGTGGACATTTTAATGAATGCATAGACAAGCGCATCACTTTGATTTGGAAAAACTTTTAGATTTCAGGCCAAACAAAGCATGGCATAATTAAATATTTGCTTAGTTTGATACACACTGTCTTACTTGTGATGAGTGTAAGTACACATTACATCTTACATCGTATTGCACGTCTTACATATTCTTTGGATAACACTGTTGATGTATACTCACCAGAGTGTCCATTGTTTCCAAGAGTGAGCTGCTCATTTGGAGACAGGTTGTAGTTCTGAACCTCAATTGGACGTAAAGTGGGATCGAACCTTAGCAGATCTGACTCCAAGTCTATTGGTGACTGTAGCGCTCCACCACAATACGGATAACGCTCGGGCCAGTGGTCCTGTCCTTGGGGTCCTGCAACAACATTAACATTATTACATTATGCGATTTTTGAATCTGAATTTGTACTAATACCTAGATTTCAATTTTAAAAGTGTGGATTCACCAGAAAACATTAGCATGGACATTTTTCAAAAACTAAACTGTTTAATGTTATCAGGCAAACATCTCACAGTGTGAGGCTAAACAGTGGGTGGCTCCAAAGAGGGCTAGAGTTTGTTTTAGTGTGTAATAAATGTTTTATCTTTGGTCCAAATGACTTATTATTATCTATAAACAAGATGGTGGGAGGGAGCCTACGGCTCTGCTCATGGGCTTTTTTTGAAGCAGTGAGAAAAGAAAACCAGCCTGCTGCTTGCAAGCAGCGCCACGCAGTGAGAATGCCGTCTCTCTCCAAATGAGAGGTTTCTATAAAGTGCAAGACACTGAAAATGGCCACATTTACAATTGAGTCATACGGTTTACAAAGCGACCTCAGTTTTTTTTGTCAGGGGGGTAACTCTCAAAAATGTTTCTTCCAAGGCCACGAGGCACAGTGTGCTTTAAAATAATACAGAAATTGGGAAACAATTATTTTTTTAAAAAAATGGACTGAGAAGAAAAGCAGGAAGCTGTTGAATGTGCATTTTCATTGCGTGATTTTTAAGTGTAAGCATCTATGCACTGAGCTTTTCAAACATGAAAGTCAGAATAATAGTTTGCAATGAATGGACTTCATCAAATTTGAAATGTCACATTTGTGACAAAATGGAAGAAGCTGTGCGTATGCTCTCATCTTGGCAGCACAATTGCTGCTAATTCATTATCTGTTTAGCATTCATCAAAAGATTCACCATTCACCATATGCCAGCTGACCATGGTTAAATATAAAAGATTGCCCCCAACCTCCCTCTCAGACAAATGTGGATTGACTGTATAAGACATGCCAGAAGTCGTCAAGCAAAGTAGCAAAATCACTGAATACTTGTTTGATGAAAAGCTCCAAGTTCAATCTAGGCAAACCGTCTCTAACTAAGAAGAAAATTGTTCTTATTTTACTTTTTCTGTTATTCACTATTCATAACATTTGTGTTTTACTTTGATGCTGGGTGCCCTTTAATATAGGATGTTTAGTGGCCCTTGGTGGTCCCTAGGCAGTACTTGGTAGAACATAGATAACTGTGGGTAATTTCTACGTAAAAGAAATCTTAAAATAGAAGATTTTAACAAACTTTTCTAAGCAATCCTCTAAACATCACACTGGTAGCAGAGCAGGGCGAGAGGAATACAACAGACATTGTTAATCTCATTTATTTTATTCTCATGCAAAGACTCATTGTATGTCCTTTGCCAGAGGGTGGAGTGTTGAGGTGGAGATAATTTATATGACTCAGCTGTAGCACCACCACCAACAGAAAGTGCTACCAGTAGACAGACTGCTGACTACTATAATGTGGCATTTAGTATTTAATCTATGTTATTCTATGTTATCTATTTTTGTATATTTATATATTGTGCATATTTCAGGATGAAGCACCAAGAAGCACTGTCACATCACACCGTACTGACATATAAGGTCAGTCATTATCCTAATTAAGAACAGATATATTCTAATCTAACTATATTAATCATGACTACAAATTACTGACCAGAGAAGTGGGTATTTTCTTATTCAGCCCAAAGGAACCAGAGGTAAAGAATCCCTCCACCGTTTGGGTAACTTTTAAAGGTAATAGAGGACTTGATCAAGGTCCCCCCCAAAAAAAAAGATTGCTTAAGATTTTTCCAGAAAACAAAAAAAAACCTGTCAAGACAAATTATATACATTTCCATTGCTTCACCTGCAAAGATATTGCTTTAACATTCAGACATTTTTTGCTGTAATATAATGACGAGAGGTTTTAGTAAGAGTAGTTTATGTAAGAGATAGACATGATTCAAGAAGTCCCTCTCCATGAAGCTTAAGGCACCAGACAAAGGCAGCCAGCCACTTATGAAATATTATAATTGTAGAGTCCGACTTTGTTCACCACAGACAAAAGTGGTGACTGTGCATGGTGTTTACCACACTGTCATCGCTTTTGTCTTCCCGTTTGACACTCTGACTTAAAACACTGATGAAGAGACAAAAAGAAAATAATACTTTCTCTATGTCAGTTCTTACTGGATAGCACAAAGCCAAGAAAACAAAAAAAACCCATCAAAAAGAACTTTATTATATCATATAAACTTTTTATATTTTATTTACCATATATATATTACAAATTGTGTGTAAAATATTGTCACACTTACCATCATATGTCCATTTGGCACCTAAACAAGACAGAAAGAAAGCACTTGTAGAACAAGAGTTTACGGTACATACAAATAGTAAAATTGCATAGCCAACTTTTGATAAATTAAAAACGATCACGAATCAAACTACACACAAAAGAAAAAGTAAAAAAAGAAAAACTTCTTGGTCTCCGTCACTAAGCATGCAGCTGGATTGAGACACCTGCTTTAAAGCATCATTTTCTACACACAGAGAGAGAAAATCTTAGCAATGCATGGTAAGATTTCTATGTATTTATTTCTTTACTGTAGGAGCGCTTACCATGCACTGCGCTGAATAAAGTCAGCTGAAGGGAAACGATGACAGTGCGAGTCAGAAACTGCATCTTGATCGCCTCAGCCCTCCCTCGCAGTCTGCTGTCAACCCGGTGCGGAGCAAGAGCTTGAAGCACCGAAGCCCCAGCCTTCAAACCGGCCGGCTTTTTATACTCATGCCGTCAGCTTCTCTGTAGCTTGCGCTGACGTCAGAGCAACAACATAACCAGCCTCCACAGTCATTTGGTCACGGTCCGGATTGTGACAACAGCGACCGCATATAAGTACAGTCAGTCATTTAGGTTTCCGAGTCCGATGTACCAGCAGACGGAGGGTTCAGCAGAAGCGGCGATGCGCTCCCTCACAAAACATACAGACCTACACACTCCAAACACGCTCCCAACATCTGTATTTGCTTACAGTTAAAAAAAAAAAAAAATACAACTACTACCAGTTATGTGGAGGAGTAAGCTTTGGTGACCTTCAGGCCAGTGACCAAAGTTTGAGTGACACATTTCAATTAAAATAAGTTTTATATCAGCCTAGGAAGGAATTGCAGTTAACACAAGAAACCAGCAAAACAAACCATGACTTCTGACCACATGTACGAAGGTTGTTAATATAAATTTAATTCCTGTTTAAACTTAAAAGTAATGGTGTTTAATTTAAATGCTATGTTTGAAAATTGTTATATTATTAATGCTTAACCCTATGGACCCCGATTTGTGCTGTAAAGATTCGTTTTGTTGTTGCATCTGCATGGCTTCATCTGTTCTTGTTATGGTATTTATGTGTTTTTTGCTGTTATAGAGCACTGTCAAAGTATAAAGATCTGTGACCTCAGTAATAGCAGCTGCACTGCTGCAATAATGGGTATCTTAATAAACTAAAACTCAACACACTTAAAAACACGTCACAGATTTTCACACAACATTTGTATGATGTTTAAATACTATGTTGATTAAGGTTGATCGTTAAAAACTAATAGGTTAATACAATGGTATTAACCTAGTAGAGGTAAGTGAGAAGGGAGAGGTATGTGAGACAGGAGAGGTAAGTGAGACAGGGAGGGGTAAGTGAGACAGGTAGGTGAGACAGGGAGAGGTAAGTGAGACAGGAAGCCTGTAGCATGAGAGATAGGTTTGTGTTTTCTGGTATCACAGAATCTGCCGACGAGGACACGGAAGAAAAGGTGAGAGGTTTCATTAACCCTTTAATAGAGCCAAGTCCGCCAGAGCTTATCTTTATATTTTTACATGCTGTAGTGCCATTTTTGGGAGCATTACAAGTTCCTATACATCGATACAAACGTTATATCCCAAATTTTAATCATATGTATGCATTAAGTCCATAGTAACTACATAAATTGCAAAAAGTGCAATAAACTACAAAAAAATTGAAAATCGTTGTAGTCTTTTTTTATTAAGAAATTTAAGAGGTTTATCCCTCAAAACTGTAAATAAAAAAAAGTAGCACAAAATAGTTTGCCACCACTTCATAGTTTTATTTTTGAGATACACCAATTTTTATATACTGCAGGAAAACCGAAAATAAATATTATGATGCAAATTTGCAAAAAAAAAAGGCCCTGAAGATAAAAAACAAACAAACTACATTTTCCATGAAAATGACATCACTTCCGGTTTCGGGCAGGTAATGGCGGATATGCCAGCCCGTTCTCACTCCCGAGACGTAACATGGCGACGTTTTGTCACGTCCCGCGGCGTTCCTGATGAACGCAAAAGGAGACCTTCGGCGTTCTTATGGTACGCGGCGGGTTATGGCTGAAATCCAGTGCAATGACGCTCCGCGGTAATAGACGTTCCAGCCCTGTATTGCAGCCCTAAACCTAACCTTATCCCTAGCCCTAACCATAACCTTTTTCCTGATCTTAACCAGGACTTTAATGATGTTAAATAGCGTGTTTCTAAGCGATTTGAAGAAAAAGAGCGAACATGTGTAGATTGAGTCCATACGGTTCTCATATTTCCTCATTTTTTCGAGGTCGTCATTTAGGAACGTGCTGGGTAGCCGAAAACGTAATATGTTGACGATTTGTCACCTAGCGTAAAATGTTACGCTGTGGGAGTGAGAACGTGTTGGATATGCAATAGTTCACGCTGACGTCTATTGAATGTAGGAAGTGTAATGAACAGCTGATCTGATCGGCAAAGCATGTTTCTGGAATATTTTGTTTTCGTTGCTGCAAATGCTTTTTACGAAATATTTGCAAAGCTATTTGTGGAAGGAAACGTGACTTAGGACAAGCTGACGGCATAAAATAGCAACCGTTGTATTATTTTTTTATTTTTTTGCCTCCGGTTTCATATTGTTACGAAATCAGTTTTACCCCTGTTCTTTTATTCGTCGAAACTTCCAGAGACGGCACC